AGTCCTTAGCCATTGAGAAACAGTTAATTATTTACATTTCCCTCGAGCTTGTAGATATCTTCTCTGGAGATCCTGCAAAAAGAAATTTGTGGGAGTGTTTTTAAAAGTTAGGCCGCTTCTCATACTACAATTAAAAGTATGCCTAAATGTATAAAGTGTCAGCATGAGGAGGATGCGTGTGAACGCACATAACTCTAATCAGAGAGCGAGGTTTGACTTTGTCCAGGGTACACTTGGGAGCAGGTGTGGGTTCTGTAAAATGTGTTGTGCGGAATGGCCTTTAACAAAGCTTAATGCCTGTCAAGATCAGTATTGTCTGCTATGACTGGTGGCAGCAGCTTCCCCAAGTTTTTGATAGAGGTCTTTCACATCATCTACTCTTTTGACTGGCCATGTCAGGGACTGAGGCCGAGGCCTTCTGCAGACAAAGGAGTGTTCTTCTACTGAGCCCACAGCCCTTCTCTAAATTGAGCTGTACTGAGCCCACAGAACAAGAAATGAACACACAAAAGGAAGTTAAGTGGTATCCTCTCTAGGATGAACCAATGTTTGCTGGGATTGCAAACATCTGGTCTTGATGGGAAAATCTTGATAGTAAGACACCTTTCCTTCTCTGTTATCAATCAGGGTTCTTAGAGTTTTCACAACATTTGTTTTTGCTCGCCTGTGTAACCTCCTCCTCCCAGCACAATTAAACTGCTAGCAATCCACTTGACACAATCCTTGTTGTAACGTTTATGTTTCCTTGTTTTAAAGAATGCCCGGAGCTTTGGGTTAACATGTAGAGCTGTCACAAGGAGAAGGAAGTGGGTATTCCAGCTCATGTCCAAGATGGAACTCATAATGCCAGCTAAATCCTATATTTTCGACGTTCAAACATCTTACAGTACAGTATTACAAGTTGGTAGCATGCATAAAACTGTGCCACTTTAGTTAATTGGGTATGGTATATGTCAAGAGTCCGTAGTGCTACAGTATTATCCTGCCAGATTTCAGTGGCTGCCTGTCTGATCTCTTCAATGGCATATTTGTATATATGCATAATTCAGTCTTTCAGATCCCTCTTCTTGACAGCTGGCTGAATAGGAGTGCTCTATGCCATTTGCTTGATGATGGGGGGGGGGGGTTTCCTTCTCAGACTGGGCAGTGCGTATGTGAAGATTTGCTTTCCTGAGCTAGAAATCTGCATCTTTGTGCTGATCGGCTTCCTTTGGGTGGCATACAGCACATCGTCAAGGAGACTTGCCATGTGGCATTTGTGCTGCCTGGATTTCAGGCTTCTGCCAGGCACGTACCCACTCCTGCGCCAGTCAGCATAAGCTGGTATTTTTTTAGTAGGTCGCTGGCCCATATGGCCTTCCAGTGCAGTGACACCATTGGCTAACTGCAGCTCCTTAGCCAGGTGGGTGAGAGTGAAGTCAGAACCGCATAAAGACATGGGCCTATCAGTGCGGAGAGACACTTGTGTACGCTGTCAATTTCTCTCTAAATAAATGCGAAAATGTCAAATGCCTTCTCTGCATGGCATTTGCCAAGAACTAAGCCCTATAAGAAAAGGGATTAATTGGTTCTGCAGTCTAGCATTATTGCTGTCACCAGTGGAGGGTATGGCAGGGCTCACTGATGAGTACTTCCATTTTGGAATGATGTAGTTTGTATCTCTCAAGTAATGCTTCAGGTAAGGGGAATGAGTTTTTTTTTTTAGAAAGCACTAAGAAATTCAGCATGGTCTCTATATGCGTCATGTCAGGAAAGGCCTTTGAGAAGGAAAATGCACCTCATTTTTAAGATTGCAGGCAATTGTGCTTTACCTTTTTCCTATTATCCATAGTATTGCTTCTAAAGAATAATAAATGGGCATGAATTAAGCATGCCATTATAGCTGATTTATAGCTTTGTCACGTCCAGCCAATGGAAGAAAATAAAATGCAGTATTTAAATTTTTGTGGGGAAGGGAGTTTGACGAGAGCTCTTGGTTTGTGTTTGGAAGTTCTATGTGCTCTGCTTTGATTCCCGCCCCCCTCCCTTAAGTCTAGGGTTGCCAATGCCCCTGGAGCAGAATGACCTGTCTAATAGAAGCCTCATGTGCCCTTGCTTCCTGGTGTTGTATCGGCTGCATTGGCTGTTGCTTTGTTCTGGACTCAGTTAAAGGTGCTGGTGTTGTCCTTAAGGCCCATATCAGCTTGGGTGCCTTCATCCATGTCAACCTGCCTGATAGATAGTGCCTTCCTGCAGAGCGTTTCGGGTGAGTGGCTGTGTTGGTCTGCGGAAGAAGAGCAAGGTTCAAGTCAAGTCGGGTCTCAAAGGCCAACAAGATTTCCAGAGTATAAACTTCCATGAGCCAAAGCTATCTTTGTTGGCTATAAACTTCTGATGGATCCCCATTCTCATTTGTATCTGACAAAGGGAGCTTTCGCTCTGGAAGCTTATACCCTGGAAAACTTGCTGCCCTTTAAGGTGCTCCTGGACTCAAATCTTGCCTTCCGGCAGGAACCAACCAAGTGAGTCTGGTCATTGTAGCTTAGTCTGATTTCTGTAGTTCTTGTTATTATTTTAACACTCTTCATTGTGGGTGCTTTGTGGTACACTCCAGTGAACCCGCTATGGCTGGGCCTGAAACTAGGTTGAAGTGACACTTCTGATCTTTTTAATTTCAGAAACAAATTCAACCCACAGCTTGTGTGGCTTCTTTCTGGTAGTGTCTCAGGAAGCTGATCAAAAGTGGAGCTGAAGGGAAAGCAGTGTGGGAGGGATAAGAATAGATAATAAGGTGCTTGGAGGATTGAAGAAGAAGAAGAGATTGGATTTATACCCCGCCCTTCACTACCCAAAGGAGTCTCAGAGCGGTTTACAAACTCCTTTCCCTTCCCCTCCCCACAACAGACACCCTGTGAGGTGGGTGGGGCTGAGAGAACTCTGACAGAAACTGCTCTTTTTCAAGGACAGCTGTGCCAGAGCTTGTGATTGACCCAAGGTCACATCAGCAGGTGGAGGAGTGGGGAATCATACCCGGTTCACCCAGATTAGAGTCCGCACACTTAACCACTACACCAAACTGGCTCTCCAGTGCTTGGTACCCATGGACAAAGAAGCTGGAGCCCAAAATAACAGAAGTGCTATAATTCAGGGGTGTCGAACTCATTTGTTATGAGGGCTGGATCTGACATAAATGAGACCTTATTGGGCCAGGCCATGTGTGTCATAAAATGTAATGCCAGGTAGTGGAGATATAAACTTTATAAAAGACACAAACACAAAGATTTTTTTTACTTAAAATAAAAACATGCTTAAAACATTCGCTCTGTAAGTGGCAAACCTACTTTTGATTTATTGACATTCACCACAGAAATCTCATGCTCAGAGTTCTGAGTCTAGGACGTAGGTTAAAACATGAAATGGCTGAGTGAGTAAGAGAGTCTGGTGAAGCAAGCTATGATGCATCAGCAGAACTGGAAGCAGGAGATGGCCAGTTCCACTGTTGGCCTGATGGAAGCTCTCTGGGGGCCTGCTACGGCCCCCGGGCTGCATGTTTGACACCCCCGTGCTACATATTCCAAGGGAAGTTGATCAGGTGTGCTTTGGGGCCAAAAGGTTCTGATTCAGATTATGATTCCAAATCCTTTTTCTTCATCTGTTAGTTTGGGCTGCGTGGGCAAAGATGACAAATGCGTTCAAAATCCCTAGTTATAAAGAAACTGGGCTCCCAGATGAATCTCATGCACATGGAAAGCGTAAAACACAAACACAGAGCTCATAGTTCTGATCTGGTTTCAGCTACTTCTGCGAACTCTGAAACTCTGAAATTACCAGTTTCTTTGGCAAAATTCAGTAAACTCCTGGTTTGTATATTGTGTCACTCATAGATGCAGATGCAGTTTGACATGAACTGGGAGGACCTAAGTTCAAATCCCCACTCAGGCATGGAGCTTGTTGGATGACCTTAAGCCAATAATTCTTCTCTAAACCTAGTCTACCTTACAAGGTGGTTGTGGGGATAAAGAGGAGTGGTGGAATCCATCCTGTCTCAGATCCTTGGAGGACAGGTGGCATAAAAAATGATGCTGAAAGTGATATTTGAACCATTGGTACATACGTGGGCTGCCTTCTGCTGAATCAAACCATTGATCTGTCAAGGTCAGTATTCTGTAGTCAAGGCTGGCAGCGGCTCTCCAGGGTCTCAGGCAGAGGTCTTTGACATCATCTGTTGCCTGATCCTATTAAGTGGACTGAACCTGGGACCTTCTGCATGCCAAGCTGATGGATGCTTCACCACTGAGCTGCAGCCCACTCAGACTGCAAGTTAACAAACACCAGTCAGCATATGAATTCAGCTCCCTACAATTTTTATTTCAAAGCAGAAATCCCAGTATTTGTAGCTTTCCTGTATCCTGAATTTTTCCCCCCCACCCTTTGGACACATTAATAAAACTTTCTGCTTTAATAGATTAATAATTTAATTAATGTAATTTAATTTATTTAATTTAAATTTAATTAATAAACCATTGCCATAATCAGTCACGGGGTGGTGGTGGAATAATGAAGCACAAAGTAACTCAGTTGCAGGTATTTGAAATGGATGTGGTACCATGAATGTGGTACCATTAATAATTAATAGTGGTTGCTTTCAGGACTTCTGTAGAATGGCGCGTGGTTCATATTTATTTTTATTTATTATTTATTCAATTTATACCCCGCTCTCCCTGCCAGAGCAGGCTCAGGGCAGCATACATAAAAGTCAAAGCACATAAAAATAACAATTCTATAACAGTTATAAAAACCCAAACGATCATAAAGTGCTAGTAACAACAAAACTAATAATAATAGTAGTGCATAGAGATGGCAGAACAATCACGTTGGAATATTCAGAGTACCTGTTAAAGCTTCAAACTGATGGTGCCTTTTAATCCCTGCCTTTCCAAGTCGTCACACTGTTTTTGTGCCAAAGCGACAAAGTCCTAAGGCTGTATGAAGGCTAACTGTGTGTACTTCTGTTTATGCAGGCTTCGATTCTGACAATTCGTCGGGGGAATTTTCAGAAGCGACTCATAAAGGTGACGTGGATATCCACCAGACCAGTAGGACCGGGAGACACAATGGAGATGGGCAGGTGCAAGAGAACGGCATCAAGAAACACAGGTATTCCAGAGTGCAGGCCGAACAGTGGTCTCTGAGCAGTTCGAATATGGTTAAGATTTTTCCCAAGGATTTTTTTTCTCCGCTAAAGGAAGAGTAGTGGCTTGATACCCAGGCAATGAAGTTCATGTACTTGATTCCCATTTCCTGGGAAGAAACGGGCAATTGCTGCTACAATACAATTTTAGAGTTCTAATAGGGAATGAAGGTGGATGTTGGCTTGCCTTCAGGTTGACCTGTACCTAGAAACCTTTGTTTTTAGCATATAATAACTGCTTGTCCAAAGCCATTTCGAAAACAATGTATAAAACATCATTAGAAACAAAACTAACCAACCTCCCTCCCCCGCAGCTGAAGATCTTAAAAGTCCGTCTTCCACAACTGTACTTGGGGACTGTGTGTCATTGCGAAGTAGCCTGAACCCAACTACAATTAATCATGTACAAGCAGGGTAATCACAAGGACTGGGGGCTTCTAATTTCCTCTTCTCCCACTATTTCCTGTTTTCTTTCCCTGAAAGCCCCAATAATCTCTTTTGCATTTCCTGCTTTCCTTTTAAAGATTTTGTTTGCTTGTTTTAGATTTCAGATTTTCCAGCAAACCCTGGGTTTAACTCACTGAAAATGTCGAGACAGTGTGTGACTGCAATAAAGAAGGCCAATGCTATGCTGGGGATTATTAGGAAGGGTATTGAAAACAGATCAGCCAATATCATTATGCCCCTATATAAATTAATGGTGCGACCTCATTTGGAATACTGTGTGCAATTCTGGTCACCACACCTTAAAAAGGATATTATAGCTTTGGAAAAAGTGCAGAAAAGGGCAACTCGAATGATCAAAGGGTTGGAACACTTTCCCTATGAGGAAAAGTTAAGGCGCTTAGGTCTCTTTATCTTGGAGAAACGACGACTGAGGGGTGACATGATTGAGGTTTATAATATTATGCATGGGAAAGAGCAGGTAAAGAAAGAGGTACTCGTGGGGACTCCATGAAATTGCTGAGCGGTCGGGTTAGAACGGATAAAAGGAAGTACTTCTTCACCCAAAGAGTGATTAACACTTGGAATTCACTGCCACAGGAGGTGGTGGTGGCTACAGGCATGGACGGCTTCAAAAGGGAATTAGATAAGCATATGGAGCAGAGGTCCATCAGTGGCTATTAGCCACAAGGTATAGATAGGGACTCTGGGGCAAGTGATGCTCTGTCATCTTGGTGCTTGGGGGCGTCAACAGTGGGAGGGCTTCTAATGTCCTGGCCCCACTGGTGGACCTCCTGATGGCACTGGTATTTCTGGCCACTGTGTGATACAGAGTGTTGGACTGGATGGGCCTTTGGCCTGATCCAACATTGGCATCTCTTATGTTCTTATGTTTTTTTTCTCAGGTTTGTGGGAAGATCTGTCTTGTCTGTCCATTGCTAATTTGGTCCCCATAAGCAGGAGGTCTCAGTTCCTAGGGGTTCCTGTCAACCCCGGTGGGTGTGCAACTATTAGTAGGAAGATGCAACCTTCAAAGTTTTACTGATACAAATTAACAGAACAGAGTTTGAGTCCAGTGGCACCTTTAAGACCAACAAAGATTAATTCTGAGTCTAAGCTTTCATTTGCATGCACACTTCTTCAGATCTGAAGAAGTGTGCATGCACATGAAAGCTTAGACTCAGAATTAATCTTTGTTGGTCTTAAAGGCGCCACTGGACTCACTTTGTTCTATTGCTTCAGACCAACACTGCTGCCCACCTGATACAAATTAAACAGTTTATTGGAGGGCATTACTGCATAATACACTACAAAAGCAAATTGCAAACTGAATCAGGTGCATGATGCAGGAATATATATGAAACAGGCATGGATGCAAAACTATTAGGTGCAGATGGTTACAGAAAATAATATACACAGATAAACAGGCAGTGCTGAAGCATGACTAAATAAAGTACAATTTTAAAATCAGTGGAGGAAACACTACGTGGTGGAAGTATGAACCACAAATCACTAAACCTTTAGTGCCCTTGAAATACAAAGTTGCAAATATGGCACCAAATTTAATGTATACTAGCGAGTCTAAAACTAAATGTTAAACCATTAACTGCCACAGTATCGTACAGTCTGGTGTAGTGGTTAAGTGCTCAGACTCTAATCTGGGAGAACCAGGTTTGATTCCCCACTCCTCCACTTGCACCTGGCTGGATGACCTTGGGCAAGCCATAATTCTGGCACAGCTGTTCTTGAAAAAGAGCAGTTTCTGTCAGAGCTCTCTCAGCTCCACCTACCTGTTTAAATCCTTTCTTCTGTGCTGTTTCACTGATTTGAGATCTTTTTTCTGGAGCTGATGTTTGCTCCCGGGAGACATGTGACATAGACTACAACCAGCAGTTGCATGTTCCACTTAGTTTGCAGATGATTTCTGTCCCTGTTCTGATGAACTAAAGTAACCAAGTTACTCCTTTTAGGTTATGTGAGCAGCTGTTGTTTGAGAGATAATTTCAAATGCTTTGGTAACTAATTTTCTGCTCTGGTGTTTGCTTAGGAGGCATGGCTTTCAGAGGTCACACATGGGGAGGCTACATTGAGCCTACATCAATGGAGCACATTAGTAGGCGGCTCTGAAAATCTTGCCTGCTTATCTGTTAATGCTTACAGAATTATCACTGCAAAGCAAAGCTGGCTTTTAAGTCATAAATGTTAGATTAATCCAATGCTTCTCTTGGAAGTCTGATAGAAGGAGAAGAGTTGTTTAGTCTCATAGTGGCTTACAATTGCCAGTTTGGAGTAGTGGTTAGATGCGCGGACTCTAATATGGGAGAACCAGGTTTGATTCCCCACTTCTCCACTTGCACCTGCTGGATGACCTTGGCCAAGCCATAGTACTGGCACAGCTGTTCTTGAAAAAGAGCAGTTTCTGTCAGAGCTCTCTCAGTCCCACCTACCTCACAGGTTGTCTGTTGTGGGGAGGGGAAGGGGAAGGAGCTTGTAAGCCACTCTGAGACTCTGAGTGAAGGGTGGGGTATAAATCCAATCTCTTATTATTATTATTCTGGTTATAGATCAGTTTCCTAGCAAGCAAGTGGATGCAGTTCCATAGCTATCTGTTGAGCATCCAGGAAGGCTGAAGAGGCAGGACTTCCCCAGGCTTGTGAGCCTCTCAGCCCCCAGACTCCTGAGAATTAAGAGGAGGAGAGGGAGGATAGGCCTTTGGAGGCCTCAGGTCTTCAAAGCATGAGGATCCTAAACAGAAAAGCTACTTCTGCCCTGAAAAGAAAAACTGCCCCCAAAGTAAATCTGTTTCTAAACCTTCCTTCCTCCTGGCCTTTTGTAGGTTTCCCTTGGACAGGGGCAAGGTTACATGACTAAACTGGAATAAAATGCTCCCAAGCTTGTCAAATACTTTCTCCTGCCACTAGACCAATCACTTCTTGTGCGTGATCTAACTGCAACACAGTCCAGCTTTCAGCGATGAGCTATTTTTATTTATTTATTTATTTATTTGGATTTCTATCCCGCTCTCCCCGCAGGCTCAGGGCGGCTAACAAGGGCATAATGCCAGATAATAACAATAAAACAGTAAAATTCTGACTAAAATTACAAAATAACCAATTAAATAATTAACAAAAGTTCTTAAAAGACTTTCCGGTGCTCTCTACTCATATCCAATTTCTTACAATCAAGATGGTGTTCTCCATGATATAGTTGCGTAACCGTACCCCCCTGTTGTCCCTAGGCATGTCCCACTCCCTCCGATGGAGCCCGCACCAGTGATGACAGTGTGCGGGAATTATAGGGCGTTGGTGGAACAGTGGTGGCGGCAGCTCCTATTCAAAAGCCTGGCGGAAGAGCTCCGTCTTGCAGGCCCTGCGGAACTGTACAAGGTCCCGCAGGGCCCGGATCTCCTCTGGGAGCTCATTCCACCAGATAGGAGCCGCCACCGAAAACGCCCTAGCCCTGGTCATCGCAAATTTGATAGTCTTGGGGCCTGGGACATCCAGTAGATTTTGATTCCCCGACCGTAGTGCCCTTGGGGGAACATGTGGGGAAAGGTGATCCCTTAGGTAGGCTGGTCCCTGGCCATATAGGGCTTTAAAGGTAACAACCAGCACTTTGAAGCGAATCCGGTACGCTATAGGCGTACCTCAAAGATAATTCCCATCACAGAATTTGCTTCCATGTGCTGCACTCTTAAGAGAAAGTTCGCATTCCTTACAATCATGGAATTGCTGGCAGTTTTCAAGTCGCAGCTAAATGAACACTTGTCAGGGATGCTTTAGGTTCTCATGGCATCTTAGCAGATGCTTAGCTTCGCTTAGTTGGCAAAGTTAATATTCCACTTGACACACCAGTTTCTGGGCTCCTTCAGCTGAATCGACAGATTTCCCCGAAGCCTTTAGAACAATGACACAAAATATGATTAAAAATCCAGCAATGCATTCTTTTCCTCATCCTATAATATTATGTAGGGTCAAACGTCATTGAGGTCATCTGGTGAAAGGGGTCTTCTGTTGTAAAAATCCATTTGGACAAACTTTAGGCAAGCTTAAGACAACTGGCCCACCCCCCTTAATAAACACATTCTGTCAATACTAAGAGGTACTTTCCCAGTGTTTACAGTTACTTGTGGTTAGATGTTCCTCATGGAATGTACACAGTCATTCCGTGCTGTATTGTTGCAGTCTCAGCAAAAGTCAGTTTTGAACGGCAAACTACACAGAATTAGGGTCTTGAATCCACTTTGTTCAAAGATGGAGGGCCAAAAACATACCAGTTTAACATCCATGGCCCCAGTTTCTGGATTTAAGTATCCACAGATCAGACCATGTTGAAAATTAGATATACTGATTCTTAAAGATGTTTCATTTCTTAAATAAAATGGAAGAGGTTCACCTACTTGTGTGGAGGCGGTTGTTCAACAAGATGACCACCTCACTTCAAGGCTGCCATGCCATTTGAACTCATCTGCAGTGGCCATGGCTAGTTAAGTTCTGGTTCAAAAAAAGGAGTAGCAACTGTTATGCGGGGTTGCTGTTTGGCATGATGAGCAAAGGAATTGTGGCTTGCTTTATGGTTTCGGGTTAAGACAGGCTAAAAATATTAGGGAAGGAACAGTGGACCATAATGGAGAACTAAGACTCATGTATCATATAGACATTGTACCTTTGGAAGCTCCAAGCTCCATGATTGTAAGGAATGCGAACTTTCTCATAAAGAGAGCAGAACATGAAAGCAAGTTTTGTGATGGGAATGATCTCTGTGGGTATAAAAATAACTCATTGCTGAAAACTGGATTGTGTTGCAGTCACATTAGGCAAGAAAAGTGATTTGGTCTTGTTGTAGAAGAAAGCAATTTATTCCAGCTTAGTCATGTAACCTTGCCCATCTTTGTTCTGTGTGATTAATACTAGCACTGCCATCACACATACTACTTGGGGAGTCAGTTTTGGTGCTTTGAGTGGACCTTAATTACAAGTGTAGGTGTGTGTACAGATAAAAGTACATGTATATAAAAAGATTCCAGTTTTAGAGTTGTTTTCATTTTACTTCCCTGCGAGTTTTAAAAATGCATGTAGGAAAGCGGATGGAAAACTGCCAAGTTGTATAACTTCATAATGATGCAGAAGTCTTGTACAGGTACAAGTCAGATTGTTGGAATCCCCAAGAAGACCTTGGGAATTTTTGATATTTTGTCTTGCATTTGTTTCTGACCTTATGAAGATCTGAAGCCACTTGCCCGCATGAGTGAAGAAGATCAGAAGTGATTGTTACAGACAAATGCTTTTAAAGAAGAATGAGTAGTGGCATTAACCTGTTGATTTGTTCTTTCTGCAGAACGGCATTACCTGCACCAATGTTTACTAGGAGTGATTTCAGCGTCTGGAGTATCTTAAAAAAGTGCATTGGACTGGTAAGCTAACGCCCCATTCTGATCAGGCTTGCCTGATGCTTTTGGTGAAATACTGTGTCATAGTGTAAGGTACAAGTACAGTAGCACCTTTGAAACCAGCAAGATTTCCCAGGCCAGAAGAGTTTGAGTGTCAAAGCTCTCTTTGTCAGATACCTGATGAAAGGAGCTTTGTCTCTTGAAAGCTTGTACCCAGCAAGTCTTTGTTGTTCTCTGAGGCGCTGCTGGACTCGAGTTTAGTTCTTGTACTGCAGACCAACATAACTATCCACCTGAAACATGTGTCTTAGTGTGTCTGAGCGTGAGGTGGGGTCAATTTGAGAGCCAACATAATATGGCAACCAGAACAGGACTTGGGAAGACCTGGGTTTGAATCTCCACTGCAGCCACGGAAGCTTCACTGTGTTACCTTCTGATTTAAAATTGTTTTTCTATTGTTTCACTGTTCCAGACCCCAAATTTAGCTGAAATTTTAGAAAGCGTGAGATTAAGTGCCAGCATCACAAAAGTGTCTTTTGTATAATTTCCCATCATGCTTCTGTCTCCTACCGATTTCTCAGTAGCTAGTCACTCTCTCTCTCTGTACTTAACCTACTTAACCTAAAAGTGTTTGTGAGGATAATATTGGTGGGAGGACCAAAAGGAAAAAAAATGCACACCCTTTTGAACGCTTTGATGGAAAGGCAGGATGGAAATGTAATAGCAGTTTGCAACATTTTCAGCTTGCATGTGCAAACACTTATGTGGAGCAGCAACACATAGGGGAAGTGAGGGGGAAGTGGGCTGCTTTGATTGTCCAAATTTGAAGTAGTTATGAAAAGGCCCAATAAAATCCTTCCTGCTCTTTTGTTTTGGCATCAGGGCAGTGACAGTTTTTTGTAATTTAAATGACATGACTTTGAATCTACTTGTGCCGGTTTGGTAAGCTTGAGCTTCTGGGCAGTAAGCTTAATTTCTGAATAATGTGATATTTGACACTTCGTTGGGACAGCTCGTTTTGACATGGCTGTTCATACTGATTCCAGATGTAGTCCAGCTCAAGTGTTACGCCAACAGCTTTATTTACAGCTGATGGCTTATTAAATTTAACGTGAGTCCTGGCCAGCTATACCAAGATCATGTCTGAACCCAGAGTTCCAGTAATGGAGACCACACGGGTGTTTTTCCAAAACAAATAATCTTTTTACTGAAGGATATCAAAGTCACATACACACAAAATAATCAGTCTCTCAATTTGCGTACACTCAAGGTTCCTTTAGAATTACAGAAATAGAAATAAAATAGTTTCTTATTTACTTGGAGGTAGGCAGGAAAATCGGTTCATACTTGCCTGTTTCCAGAAGTCTTGTCTGTTGCAAGGGAAAATTGGAGGGTAAGGAGTAGTTCTAGGGGTAGTTACTAATTCACACTGCTAGAACCAGCCAGCTAGTGTGGGGATCTCTTTGGCTGCGCATCCCAAAGAGATCCTGTAAAGACAAAGAGTTTTAAAGAAGGAAAGAGAAGGGGGGGGTAGTAGAATGTGGCTAGCCAAAAGACTTGCAGCATGGTCTTTGCATTGATGGTAAAATGTGGCTAGCAGAAACCTTAACGCATGGTCTTTGCGTTTTATAGTTGAATCTCCAAATGGGTGGCACCTTGCCAAACTGCAATCCCACCTATTTACAAGTCCATCCCATAGCTTTCCCTATTGGTGCATGTGGAAAGGGGCAGGTATTTTATGGGTTGGGCCAATATTTGAAACTCTACACTCTATCTCATGGAATACAATCTGGCCAGGTGTGAAGTCTCAGCTTCAGGGCATCTCTTTGTTGTGCTGATGAATCTTGGCTTTACCAGGCGAACAAGATACCATCAACAGGAAACAGCAATTCAAATGCAGATCAGATGCATGTACTGCGTGACATCTTGTCTTTTCAGTAATGGGGGAATTTCTCCTTCTTGGTTGTTGTTCTGCTCACAATGGCTAACATGTGCTTCTCCTTCCCATAATGCCTTGAGCTGAATGTGTGCAAGCTACATTAACATAAAATGCAGGCAAGTGTTCCCTGTGTGAAGGCTTTCACAGTAGGTGATGCAAGCAGCTTCCTTTGGCTTATGGTATACAAACGTGTGCACAGTCCACGTGTTCTGTGTGTAGCAGATATAAAACCATAAATTAGTCCATTTCTCAACACAAGCAACATGTATTTGAAGTCTCTTCCAGCTGTGTTGGAGCAAAGTGAAATCTTTAGCAAGTAATACATTTGTGCTATAAAACTTATAACAGAGGTTTGCTTTTGTAGGCTTAGTCTCGTGGCAGCCTATATTCACATATGTGCAGTTTGGAGATACCCCCCCCCCCCCCCCCAATTTTTGTCCTAAGGTTGACCAATGATGATACTTTGTCTCACTGGTTGAGAACTTGTCTTTTCCACACAATTTTTCCTTGCTTTTCATGTCCACCTTTAAACAGTTCCTGTAGACATTAATGAAAAAAACATGAACAAGAGCACTTTTGGTGTGCATGTTAGATATCTGGTGCCATTATTTTTTCTCCCACCCCTCTTTTCCCCCTTGTTTGTATTTTTTAAAGTGTGGGGATTTAAACTTCAAATTATTTCCTTTGAAACATGCATGTTGTGGGAGGGTGATTGAGCCAATTTGGTTGGTGCATGTCATAGAGACCGATTTTTTATTTTTTTATTTTTAATTAAGCCCAGATTTGTAACCCAGAGAACCTCTGAGAGTGGCATTAGATAGAGCGAGAAAGAAAAACAAGTAGAAATTGTCCCACTTATATGAACAGTCGTAGCCCCTTGGATCCAAATTTACTAAATAGTGAAATTAACAAGTGCTACACTTGATGACTAGTTTTATTTATTTATTTATTTTATCACACTTGTATACATCTAATTCTCAATGTGACCAAGTCTGTGAATACTGGAGATTGAAGCCATGAACAAGACAGATCTTTCTACAAACTAGGAAAATGGCCTAGGTTTGCAAAAAGATCTGAAATCTAAATTGTATCTCTCTCTCTCTCTCTCTCTCTCTCTCTCTCTCTCTCTCTCTCTCTCTCTGTCTGTCTGTCTGTCTGTCTGTCTGTCTGTGTAAATCATAGGGGTTTTAACCTCCCCCCCCAGCACCTGTAGCTTTTAGCAGTGAAGTAGCACCTATAACTTTATGAAACAAATGCTCTCAGTGGCCGTTGCTAGCCAATAACAGCATTTTCACCAGCCTTCAAGCCTTGGTTTGTGTCAGTTAAAGGCGGGGGGATGGCAGGGCCTTTTCCAGGCTGTTTTGGCTTTTGAGGGAGGACTCATCAGGGCCAGGCCTGGCAGCAGCCACTGGATAACTCACTACTATGTGACTTGCATGACTTACCCAGAACTGGCTGCTTGCTGCTGTTCAATAGCAACTACCCCTTGAAAGCCAGTGTTGTGTAGTTTCAGACTTGGATATGGGACATCCAGCTTCAGATCCCCACTCTGCTGTGAAACCTCACAGCGTGACCTTGGGCTGGAAGGAGAGAAGGAAG